TGTGTGTGTGTGTGTGTGATAACAGGGGAGTTTGGGTAATAAACGACCGTGGAGCTGGAAAGCTCTGAGCAGGAACTATGCATACACCTGTGACTGATGCCTCCCAGATGTACTGAAAATGTCATACATATGCACATATACATGCATTCCTCTGAGAGAGTACAGTAGAAACAACTAATGTTAACAGTGTTATTGCCATTACTGCTGACAAGTTATTTAGTGTATTATACCAAAATATTTTCTAATGGCACTTTTACTTTAATTGCATTCTAACTTCATTTATCTAATTATCCATTTATTATTAACCTTTTATAATCACATAAAAAAAAGGTTTGCCCCTAGTCATTGATGATAATACTCAGCAGTAAAAGTGACACTTTGAGACAAAAGGTGCTGTGTAGGTTGTGAAATTACTGGACCGTTGTGTTTACTTAGACTTCTAGTTTTGTTTGGGGACTTGTCAGGAAGTAGCATGTTGTTGTGAGAAGGAACAGGAAGGCTGTATTTGTCTTCATCAGGGAGACTCCACCTGTCATCCAAGTTTTTTAACAGAACAAGGAAGATTTGTTCCAGACTTTAGGCCACTAGAGGTCAAAGACATCGCTATGAAGGCATCCCTCGTTCTTCCTCTTTTCCTCTGCGACTCAAAGTCAACACAGTTACTGTCAGTGCTGCAGCATTCAATGGGGCCCAAGATACAGCCTATACAGTGCACATTTCAGAGACTTTAAAAGGTTGTCAGCCAAGAAGGAGTTACAAAAATACATGTTTTGTTTCATTTGACTTTATTCATGACAGCATCTTGTGGTAATTCTTCTAAAGACGTTCTCTCCTTTGTACAACATTGGGGTAAATGTCATCCTCATGACACAGCTCAATACCATTAGCCCTAATTCAAACTAACTACCAGAACATGCATAAATTAACAACCATGTTTTATTATAACAATTTACATAAACTCACAGTCTAGATAAGACTGAGTGTGACGTATTTCTACATTTGTCTTATAAATAGCAAAGAATATTTAAGGCATTTTTGGCCCAAATTTTATCTTTACCAGTGCTTCTTTTATTATGTACATTTCTTTCCACAAGAACTTTTTACTGTCTTTAATTAAATATGGCTGATCTTTACATGTGTGATGACACTTTTCAGTCACCACACGATATATAAATATTCACTGAAGGAACAGAGTTTTGTCGCTCTGTATACTGAGTATTGTATATGGAGGGAAACACAACCAATTCTACTTTTAACCTTGGCCCCATAACACTTTATTTATGACTCAAGCTTACAAAAAGAAGAGGTCTGTCACCATGAAAATACACATTAATTTTAATTTTAAATAAAGGGGTGCCTTTATTGATAGGACAGGGTAAGATAGTCAGGGAAGGGGGGAGATAGAGGAAATGACATTCGGTTTTAAACACAGCATACAGATACTTGAATTGAAAGTATTAGTTTCATAAGTTTGTAATTTCCTCTCTTGGACATCCAAAGTGGTTATGTAAGATGTTGGAAAGTCATGAAATAATTAATGGAATAGGGGAAAACAATCTTTCTAAAATAACGTTTTGCTTCTGCTGATTTTTTGTCCTTTGTTAATTGATCAAAATGAAACAGCTTAGAAGGAAACAATCATTCTCTTGTGAAACTGTTCCCCTCTGCATGTTAACAAGCATATGACAAGTATCACAAGCCACAAAGTTAGAGACTACTGCACTATAGTAACCCAAAAGCCACTTTGTTATAAGCTGTTTTCAGGACCTGGAAAACACATTTTAAGTCCATAATGCCTCAAAAATGGTCTCCTGGCACGACCTTTGAGTCAGACACCTGTTCCAAAATCCTGTTCAGGTCTGAAAAGCAGGATGTTTTCGGACTTTATTACAAAGAGAACCACAGCATATTTATCCCAGGTAGTCAGAAAGAAGTTCTGCTGTTGTGGTTAACGAAGGAATGTTCAACACTGGGATCACTGAGAGGAAAGGATGCCTGACTTTATGAGATCTTAATCCGTCATGATTGCACCAGAGCATGAGAAGGGCTTGATGTGGCTTTGGGGAGACAGACTGTACTTCCTCTTGTTTGTTGTTATTGTTGTGCAATTCGTACCTGAATTCCCTCGCTGTGATGATTTTTTATTTAACACCAGACTCAAGTGAAAAATATTTTTCCTCAAACAACAGCACACACGTAGGAAAAATAGCTTCTATTACAAACTGTATGACTTAATTCTTCCAAATCTGAAAGAGCTGGTTTTATCTTCAAAGCAATGAGGGTCAATTTCCATTCCATAAATTGTGTCTTTCCTCAAACTCACCCTTGAATGAAGTCTTTCCAAGGTTTCTCAAGGTTCAGGCTAATGAATTATTCCACCATGAGGCCACTGCAGTGAATGATGGAAACAGTTGACCTAATACATATTCCTGCTGGGACGCGTCTGCTCAGTTTTCACTGTTTATGACCAAACTCACATCCCACTGAAGGCTCTACGAATATTAGCTGCATCTGAAATGCTCCAGAGGGAGTTTATATGTGGAATCTCAATTCACCTTTAACCTTCTGACTTCTGCTTGGACCTTTGTCATTACTTGTGTGTTTTCATTACCGTCATACTGTAAAACGTTTTAAGAGCAGTGTAGCACAAGGTGGGTGTTAGCAACTGAATGTTTAGGGTGCCCAGTTAGCTCAGTGGGTAGAGCTGGCGACCCATGTTTCAAGGCTGAGTCCTTGCTGCAGCGGCCCAGGGTTCGAATCCAACCTGTGGCCCTTTGCTGCGTATCATCCCCTCTCTCTGCCCGCCTTTTCTGTCTGTCTCCAGTGGTCACTATCATAAAAGCCCAATAAAAAACAAAAACGAAACTGAATGTTTAGTGGTCTGTAAGGGGGGGTTTGTGCATTACAGAAACTGGGAAGGCTTTACTCCCCGTTAGCAGTTTGTATCTACACATGAGCATAAAAACCTAAGGATGGCGGCAGTATTTTGGAGAAAAGTTAAGGAGGAGAGGCATAAATGAGGAAATGCTGGGTGGGCATAGGGGCATGTGGTGCAAAACAGAGGAGTGGAAAAGCTCCCTCTCTCAAATCTCACATTTCTCTGAGGTGCAAACCTTCACATAAAACAAACATTTTAGTTTCAGAGTTACTCTAGAACCCCACAGTATAGGCAAATGTCATCCAACATAAAGAAATCAAGTCCAAGAACTTCCATCCATAACATTTATTATGACAGACAAAAACTATCTTTATATCGTGAGATGTTGGGTTTTCAGTTCATTTGTAGTTGTCAGAACAGCGTCAACTCCAATAGCAGAACAGAACATGTATTCCTGGGTGTCACGGCAGGGACAGAACCACCGCTTTAAGGAAAGGCTTCCAAAACTTTGGGGTAGCCATAGCAGAACACAGTCCTAATGTGCCTGTAATCAGGTGAGGTCCCACTCTGAGAAAGCAGCCCTGGTTCTACCCAAACAGCCCTGGGTTGTGCAGAGTCAGAGTCTGCAACAAGCGCTGGAAGTCCTGCACCGTCCATGGCTCTCTGTGTGTCCCCGCTGAAGCAGCACTGCTGCTGTCAGGGCTGATGCTCTGCGGGTCGTTGAAGGTTATCAGGACATCCGTGGAGAACTGTGGCAGACGGAACAGACCCAGGTGAAGGGTCACTGTATTCCTCGCCTCTTCGTTGAACTTGGACACACACTGCGTCCCAGTCAGCATCCAAGCAGAGCTGCAGTCTGCCAGGGACAGCTCAGATTTGGGCAGGGACACAACACCGGTCACTTCGAAAGCACCTGGCTCTAAAGCTTTATTACTGCCTGCGATGTCTTCAAAGTGATACCTGGCAGCGTCTTGGTCTGCCACCTCACCCTGGTACTCCACCAGCTCCACGATCAGGCTCTGGTCGGTGTGTGCGTGGGCAAACACCTCCTGGTTGTCCGGGATCTCCCTGAGCTCACTGGTGTCTGTGGCGCTGTGAGGGAGGACAGCGGACAGAGCTCCTCCGAACAGAGGATGGGACAGACCAGCGCTGCCTCCAGGACTCTGCATCTCCATGTGGGACTGTGCGCCGCTGCAGAGAGACAGCAACAAACACAGCGTGAACAGCCAGCGTTACACAAACACCGTGTGTTCACATTAAAAGTAAAACTGACTCAGGAAAACGAGTATAACATGTGTCTAACCGCAGCGGGGTAAACAATCAGCTTACCAACTAATTCAAC